TTTTTTGAAAACTTGGCAAAAAAATAATGAAATTCTTGTGCCCTTAATTCTAACTGAAAATTATTTAAATTCTAGATGAAAATTAGAGTTTTTCTAGGCGCACACGGTGGCTACTTCAGTTTTCCTCTCTCACAAACTTTTGGCAGATAAAATATTAAAAAAAACTGTAACTACGTTTATTTTTTCTACATTTTGGTACTTCTCACAAATTCTCATGGCATTTTACACTTTCGGATATTGTAATAAAACAGTCAATTCATCTTTTTGTAGAGAATTTAACGAGGAATCATTTGGTATAAAAAAAAGTGTTTGAACCAAGTGAAGAATAAAGAAGAAATATTAAAAATATAAACAGTCTAATTTATTCAGCGCCACCCGATATATGGATTCAGAGAATAATATTTGGTTACAAAAGCGTCTCTTTGCGGATAAAACTAGATTGAATACTATTTCTTACTACTAGACTGACTGAAGATAGATTCAAAAATATTCAAATTTTTCATTTTTATTGAAGTCTTTTGACAGTCTATTATACCATGAGTAATCAATCAATGTAGTAATCAGTTCCTGTACTATATGATTTATTGCACGCTCCTTGACTGTACGTTAACAATCTTTTTAAATATTAATATCAGTTCAGAATTATCTTAAGTCAAGGTTATTTTTCGTAGAAAACCTTCTAATTTTGAATATCACGTTCTTTTCTTATTTTGTACATAAGTGGGAGAAATCTATTGGAACAATAAGAAAAAATATAAAAATGCTGACGAAAACGGAAGAGAAAACTCAACTTGAACAATTATTGTTACCGGTTTTCTACGTGACTATAATTAATTGTGAGATATTTCTTTTTTATTTAGTACATCAAAGTATCGCATGTCATATAGTTAATCAAAGATAAATTTAAACAGAACCAATCATTATCTCATGTTTCACGTATTTATAACATATTTTAGATATGTTATTGTCATCATTCGGATATTTTAGTGTGTTAATCATTAGAGAAATATGGATATTATTAATGATATAATTATTAGTTTATGAAATAAAATAAAAAATTTAATAATAACTTAAATATTTATCGTTATTTATATTAATATAAACGAAAATTCTTCTCTTTTTTTTATCAGAAATGATCGCTCTGATTTAGTTAAATAAAAATACTCTATATATTGTTAATAATTATTATCCATTATTATTATCATCATCAATATGCAGATTATAATGAAAATTTTTTTTATAACATGTTCATCTCTCATATTTATTGGAACTCTAATATTAAATTTTTTAGCAATTGTTTATATATTATCAACAAGAGATCGAACATCGATTGCAATGTTAGTAGTTAATCTAGCTGTAGCTGATATTATTCATGCAGGCAAGTTATATAGAGAAAATAAACATAGTAGACATATTTTATGAAAATAATTTTTAATGATAATCTTTTTCTTAGTTGATTGATTAATTTTTGAAGATTTTTATACAAGATATAGTTCACTTTTTATTTTAAAAAATAATAACAAATAAAACAAAATTAACTTAATTTAATTTGTCTTTGATTAATTATTTTTAGTTGGAATTATATTTTTTGGAAGTCAAATGATTACACGTGATTGGATTTTTAATGAATTTGGATGTAAATTTTCTATTACAATTGATATTCTATGTACAGTAGTGAGTAATTTTCAAGTATAAAAACAAACTTTAACCTTTAATCAATCTTTATTTTTCATTTTTTTAGGTTATTGTATACACTGTTGCTGCTCTAAGTGTAGAACGTTATATTGATGCCAAATTATCTTTAACACTCAATAATAAATTTCGTACAATTATTACTATTACGTGCATTGTTCTAATTTGGACAATGGGATTATTGATGCCATTACCGTACATAATTCATACCTATTTACATACATCAACGAATAATACTAAACATCGATCATGTGATTCAAAATTAACAGAAAAATTCCTTTTAATACATGAAATTATATTGTATATATTTGCATTTGTTATACCCTATTCAATCATTGTTATATTCTCATTAAAACTATTAAAATTTCTTCGTGAATGGTTAAAACGTAAAGAAAAATTAACACGAGCAAGTATTACACGAAAACGTACCAGAGGTGTTAAATTGGTTCTTT